ATCCATCCACAAACGCCCGCAAAATGTTCATAAGGACCAATTTTATGTTCCAATTGATGGACTGAAACGCAACAGTCTGCCCGAACGAGCTCCTCCACTCGTTTAATGTTGACTTGAATGACCGACGCGCTACGGCGACCCATCCGAAGGTCACCTTCAATTGCCGCTTGTACAAATTCAAAACGTCCCACCCACTCCGCTCGTTTCCTCAAGCATTCGTCGTGAAGCGTTTTGCAGTCATCGGTGGATGGATGCGGCCTTCTCGCCCTCAGCCACAAGGAATCCCGTCGCTATCCGCTGCTCTCGCTGCGTCCTCAGCCATATTTCATTACTTCCGCTCTGGCAAGGCTTCGCAATTGACGAAATTCAAGAAATTGCATGCAGGCTAGCTCTCATCATGAAATAGCAAGATGCGGATTTTAGGTGCAAGCGCTCTAAGTATTAAAAATGAACTCAAAGAACTCCTACACTCCCCCCCCCCCTCCTAATACCAAGTCAGATATCATTAGATAGACAAATCCTTGCACTTCTTTTCGGATTCCCGGAATAAATTTTGCTTGATCGCCAATATCAAAATTTTCGAAACGATTTTCATAGTTTCTTGAATTCGTGATGAAAAATCTCAAGTATAATTTAATTATTCTTTAAGTTCAACTTATCTTCACAAGGTGATTGATTAAATTAAACATTGGTTGTTTAAATTGAAAAGTATCATACTACTACAAATTAATTGTTTTTCACATGTCTGAAAAAGTGCTTGGAATGACAGTGAAATATCTAAAGAATTGGAAGTGGTGAAAACTTTTCTTTACCTCTGTCAGGTAGATGTAACTGCTATATTTCGGACTGTATAGGCTTTTGATGGCAATGCCGTTCTCTTCTCGTTCTAGGCTCCAATCGCCGTTGTGCAAGAAATCCTTCACCTCATGAAAGGCAGATTCACCTTGCTGCACGTAGGGCAGATCCTCCTGTTGGAGAAAGGAGCACGAATCTCAGGCAATGATCCAGTGTCTTTAAGGAATGCCTAATTGAGGAAAAAAAATAGCAATTAAAAAAAAACAAGCGATCTCGCTCATAAAGAACTGATATTCAACATCGAAATGAAAAACAAGAGAGTACCAGCCCAGGTACTGATCTGGCATTACAATGGCCCCTGTGCCACTAGAATTATTATTACATATATTCACTGCATCATAACCATCCAACCCTGAAATAAGCAATAACTGCCAATGGTTAGGCATCGGCCTATATGAAAAGGCCTGGACAACTAGACATGTTCTCGATGGTTCGCACGTCCGAATTGCGTGAAGATGGAAGAAAGTATGTGTAGGATGTCAGATGCGCATTTGCCGCGTGTGCCTAGCACCCCTGTCTACGCGGCAAGGAGCAGCCGTTCTCCCCATTGTATACCATGGATCCATCAGGCCCCCAGGCATAGAGTAGAGAGTGTAACTAGAGGCGACACTCCTCTCGAATCCCATTCATTGACAGGGTCGTAATATAGATGTCGCTGTCGATCCTCCACCTAGCGGGCGCACATCAACAACTCTTCCACGGCCGAGCAGCGGACTCAACGAGACACACGTGTTACGTTGAGGGATCCGTTTGGGTCAAATTCCCGAATGAGTCGTTTCCCGATTCCGCTGCCACGAAGCACGCCGCATGGAAGTGTTGTTGATAACAAGCCACCAGATGTCTGTAATATTTCGACCCTCCCATACCCCTCGGAGTATCGCCTTTAGTTACACTCACTACTCTATGCCGCAGGGCTGGAAGGGAAGTGGATGTTTCTGGGGAAGACGGGCACCCCGACCATGGCGGAAAGCTGCGCGTGCGCATGGGGTCGTGTTGTCCGGTTGCTATGGTTACTGGGGGCTCAATGTCCCTGTGAATGTCAGTGTCCAAGTCAATGACACCGCCATGCCGAGGTTCAAAGAGGAAATTAGGGTTATGGCTGCCTATCATGCTATGATGAAACCGTGTATACTTGAAGAAGTGACGAAGCTCTACTCTGTTACTCCTATACACTTGACTCAAACCAACCTCGTGCAATGCCATGGAGTTTTCTTTTTTGCAGAAAGAGATTTGGAATCGCATGACTGAAAGAACATGAAAATATGTCCGCGGGATTGTCTCCTCTGTTGAACACAAATAGTTGAGTCACGTAAGTACTCAACACTTCCTGTTCACAGGATGATTGCAATCAATAGAGCACCGTTTGTGCCATGCCACTTGGGAGCCCTCCGTGGGGTCATCTCTATTCAATTTCATTGCCTAATCGATATTAACGTTCCTTCAGACACTGGATAAGGGAAGAAGTACTGTAACGCCCAAACGTTGACAATTCAACGTTGACACAACGCTACTTCGCAGCAACACTTCAGCTTTGAATTTTTTTTTTTTTTGAAGCCAGAAGACTATATTGTCACGTCCTCACAACACAAATCTCTGCTGAAATTCAACACCAAAACTGAAAGTGAACAATGGAAGAATTGTTACTCCTTCCATTACGGCATATGCTTTCGGATTTTTTAAAGTGATCTTATTTTTTCTTTTTTTTTAGAAAAAAAAAGAATTGTTTCATTGCAACCAACATTGGAACAACATGTTAAGTTGAGAAATCAACCTTTGCTCAATGTTGAGACAACGTTGTTGTACCGAATCGAATATGTTAGGATCCGCGATTTTGCGCCGGTCGACAATGAACAGTCAGATCGGGCGACTCACTGGGACTTTTGATGATTTGGAGAAGGTCCGTGTGTAGGACGCGACGCCAGGCAATACATCTGCGGGGAGAGGAAAAAAGAGCACGACATGAAACAACTTCGCAAGGAACGAGGCCTGAGATAGACGTCTCATAGCGATTCTTCTATTTTCTTCAGACAAAATTAATATCCCGTGAACTCATACAGATCTTATTGTGTTCAACAGCAACCTCGACTCTTAACGTTGAACTACTATTTTAAACCGTTCTCTGTCGTCTCAGCCTCACTGCCTCGTGGGTCTAGCCCTCATGCCACCCTCAAAGGACTCTGGAAGCCTTCACCTCGGGCGACTCGGAGTCAAACCCGGTTCCCTCTTCAGCGCAACTTTTCTTCTTCGTCGCTGTCCTACTTCAACTGCACGCTAAACGTATAACCAGCCAAAGGATTTCAGGGAAAGTGAAAGCATCTACCATTAACTTGTATATCATATAAATTTTATTGCAAATAAACCGCCGGAACTAATCGAGCGGTAAAGCATGAATTTCTTAAATGACAAAACTAACCTGTGACGATCGGATCGTGCAATATAAACAGGGACAAGGCGTTGATGGACAGAACCACCGCCGACTCCACCACCGACGAAACCATCGTCACTGAGCCGCACGTCGATCTGAGTCCAGATCGACTTTCTCCGCAGGACGCTCTGTGACCTGGCGGATTACCGTCCGAGATGCGTCACGGCTGACTTCGCTGGGAGGGGGGAGGAGTGTGGGACACTGGCAATTTTAATATGAAATTTGTATCGAATGACTTATGCAGGCGAAGTCGTACGTAGGTTCACCGTGTCGTTTTTCTTAACCCTTTGACCGACAAGTTTCGCAGACGCCTGTTATACGGACCCCGTAAAATTTAGGGACATGACGGTCAAAGGGTTAAACCTAGAAAAAAGAAATGAAGAATTTTTCTTATTCCAAATGGTTCCCTTGCTGAAAAACAAAACAGGTATAGGGTGTATAAGCGTTGACGTCACGAACAGATGGCGCTCGTTGTTTCCGGGTCCATGAGCAGCGGAGTATTTCATTTACTTCTATTTACACTATTTACCATGCCAGCTTGTTGCGTCCCCCAGTGCACTAATCGATCAGAAAAGGACAGAACGTTATCCTTTAATCGTCTGCCAGCCGATGACGGAGTGAAAAAGAAATGGCTTCGGATGATCAGGTGAGCTTATTCAGGCCTAAACTAAGGGTAATGCTAGCCTACGCTTTCCAAATGCCCAGCTGGGTCTCTTCTCTAGGATAATACTTAGGACTCTGCAGATCCTATTCCTTGGCCTAAAGAGAATGCAAGATCTTGCAAAATATAAATAAGCCTACTATAACTTTGCTCTAAGGTCGCAAATCGATACTTGCAGCATTCTATTTGCCTTCCACCTTTTTCTCTTCAGGAGAGCTGATCTGGTACCCACACCTAATACAAGAATATGCAGCTATCATTTTCCTCATGGGAAACAGAAAGGCGCCACAAGGTTCCCTGGACCCGGAAGCCAGCAGACACGTGGAAGTGACGTCATGCTTACATTCCCTTACAGGGCATTCATTTCAGCATGATGAGGCACGTCATTCAACTGTCAGAAGGACGCCACAGTGACTTATGACAAGATTCAGAGTGGAATTCAGACCTTTCCGGAAAATCCCAAGCACTAGCGCAAGGCTCTCAACCTGCGGAACGCAATCCAGGTCGGTTTGCCCCTCAAACTGGTGATAATCTGTGAAGAAAGGTCAATAGAGACGATTCCATCTAAATCATGGGCATGGCGTAGGATGAAAAACCCTGAGAAGGCAAGGCAAATTCAGGAGAAAATAACCACTTTCAACCAGAGTGAGGCACTTCCCATTGGCTTTAGCGATGACATGATCCGTCTCCCGAAAGGATCCTCATCGGCCAAACGAGCATGCGAGATCAAGCAACCATGGTTATTTAGAAAAAGTTCTGTACTACAAAACCGACTTATGCTCTTTATTTGATGGCATTGATCTCGACGGGGGAGTCAAACAATATGGATCGTCAAGTCGCCAAATGAGTTTTAATGGCGAGTCCCAGAACATTTCGCATTTCACCTTCTCGATCCCCTTTTAAATTCCAAAGGAGACAAGGTCAGCGTGCAGCATGAGAATGTGCCAGGAGGCCCTGCTGTAATGGCTTAAGATCTCCAAAAATGATGAGTAAAATGAATAAAAACAGGTGGAAAATCAAGACAGCTTCAAGAGAGATACTCATATGAAAGCATCTTCATCAGGTTTTCTTCAACATTGGCGCATAATTTCTGAGACAATTGGCATATTCAACCATGCTCGGGATCATGAAAACTCGGATGAAAGGCTTCAGCAGGGCGTGGATTTTCAAGTCGACGTTCAGCACGAACTGGAATTTCGTGGAGCTGTCTCCATTCGGAGAAAACCGGAATCCACTCGGATGGTATGCGCCTCTGAAGAAAGGACAATGAATTCCTCCAACCCACGAAAGACAACTGAAACTATTTACTATTTACGAGGCAACTATTTACTCCACGAAAGACAACTGAAATGGAGATTAGCCGGTTTACCTCACGTATTCCCCTTCGGGCGGTGCGCCTGGGAACTCCGTCGAGATGTAGCACATGTAATAATCCTCCACCATCCGATCCGTGTCCAGCACCTCATGCCGAGAACACACGCTCACGAAGTCTCTTCTCGAGATGTGCTGCGATGCTTGATCTGCTGCGGTCTCACGGGCGATCATGACGGTCTTCGAAATTCTCTGCAGCATTTACTTCACCGGGGAAGAAGCAACTCGTGCAACTTCAGTTGCCCTGAAGTTGCACGAGTTGCCATCGAAGCCAAGAAAACATTTTTGTTTCAGGTCCTCGTTAGAATTTCTCGCGAAATGGCCAGCCAAATTTGAAACAATTCATGAATACAACGATACACGTAACAACTATTACAGTTGCCTCTTGTACGTCTACCGCATTTACAAGTTCTTTTCCCCCATTTCCTGCTGCTGCTTTGCAGAGCAAAATGAATGCACTAAAACCTCGAGAAACCCGTTACCCGAAAGGTCAATATTGATATCATCGCGTTTTAGACTGGTAGGGAGACGCGAGACTTTCCCTATTCTCATCTCCCCTGAATCAACTACTTGGAAACCAGTTCATGTTGTGCTAGGCCACGCTGTGTAATGGGAAACGCATGCATGCGGAATGGCAAAATTAATCACTTTCTAAATTTCTAAACATGCGCAATATATGGAAATCATGGATATCAGACACTTTTTCATGTCTCATTTCCCCAGATTATTTCAGATACCCAAGCTAAATATTAAATACATTGTATTTTTGGCTCCTTTCCTATGAGCCATGCTCGTCCACAGTGCATCCATTTTTCACTTCTGCAAAAATGTCCCTTTTCAATTAGCCACACTGGAACAGATTCAGTTCGTTTTCTGGGCAAAACTAGGTCTCGATTGGGTCTGGTTCCAATACCGTTTGTTTTCCTTCCGAAATGCCATTTTGAAATTCGCTGTCAGAAAAACCTGGTTGGTGGTGCAATAAGCCTCAGTTGCGTATAAATTTTGCGCACTTTAAATCCGGCAATTTGGAGTGGCTGCTGATTCGATATTGCCTGTGAATATGTTAAGCAGGATGCTCCTTTCACAGATTGAAAGTCTAGGTTTTCCTGTTTTTCCATTCGTGAGAAAAACCTTTAGATATTCTTATGAGTAAGGTGCTTCATGTCAAACTCGCCAATGGTTCATTTTCTTTACTTCGTTTCAGCGCGTCACGGCATGATGCACACGCCAACAATGAGAAACTTCGAAATTAATTTTAGGTCAAATTAATTTTAAGTAATTTTAAGAATTTAATTTTAAATTAATTTTTTGCAGGAAATTATTTTTCACGCGAAGGTAGGTCTGGGCCTGACATTGGAGGATCCAGTCCCACCATCACCGCAATTTTCTCACGCCAACCTGTCGAGGCCGATCGGAAAGGCCTCTGAGGCCTCACACGTTCTCCTTTCAAAGGTCATTTCAAAGGTCATTTCAAAGGCAACTCACTTCGACGATTTCCAAGCGAGACATCTGCGAGTTCCACGTCGAGATTCGCCCGTAATGCCACCAGTACTCGTTGACGAGGGCCTTCGCGGAAGCGTTCACCACCGTCTGCAAGACGATGGAGGCAGGTGGGGAAATGACCGCGGCCTTGGAGGAAACCGCGGTATGGTGCCGGTCAATCGCGATCCTAAGGCGCTTCGATGGAGCGAAATTGCATCCATGAGCAGCAACCAGCAGGTTAAAGGTCTTTTTCAATCTTCGTTGAATACCGAACAACTTGTGAAGTTCATTCCTTTTCGAGACTGAAGTGCCAAAAAAAAATTTATCTGGAAAGCCTTCTTCCTTCAGGCATATAAACGGAATTAAATATATATTGATAAACAACGCTTTTTCTTAATTAGGCATCAAGCGATATTGCGACGCGCCGTCCAAAGCAGAGTCAGACTCGTCAACCGATATCAATGAGAAATAGGAATTGTGTTTGACCGTCAGCACAAACATTTCCGGAACGACTTCCACGGTTTCTTGGGATGGAAAAACTCAAGCATAGTTTAACTTTTTTTTCAGCGTTTCTTTAAGGGGAATTTTGGCTGCTTAAACAGAAAGTTGACTCTTGCTGCAATAAATTAATATTGAATATTACGTCTCATTTGTCTGAAAAGAAAGTTTGGGATGGTAATGTAACAAAGTATTAGAAATTGTGAACGTTTCGTTACCTCTGTCAGGTAGACGTAACTGCTATATTTCGGAATGTATAGGCTTTTGATGGCAATGCTGTTCTCTTCTCGTTCTACGCTCCAAGCGCCGTTGTGCAACATATCCTTGACCTTGTGAAAGGCAAATTCACCTTGCTGCACGTAGGGCAGAAGATCGTCCTGCTGGAGAAAGGAGCACGAATCTCGTGCAATGATCTTTAAGGAAAGCCTAATTGGGGAAAAATACAATTTAAAAAAAAAAACAGCGATATCGTTCATGAAGAACAGATCTTCCAAGAGAGAGACTTGGAGAAGGAATTATATCGAAAAACCGCAACGTCTACATCACCGTCCATGACAGTGCCGAAGAGCTGCCCTATAGAGTTTTCTCAGGTCAATTCAATTGCCACTTAGGAACTTTGAGCGTCCTCGCTGCTCTGGGTAGAAAGGAATCCTGCGCGCGCATTCCACGACATGGATGCATCTCCGGCCTTTACCATACACTTCCCTTAGTCAATGGTTTTTTTTTTCGCCTGCCCCTACCTAAGACAATTGGTAGAAGGAGATCCTCCGACGCAAAAGAAGGGCTGTTCCTTTTGACAACAAATATCGACTTGCTGAGATGATTTGTGCCGCGTCACCACATTTACCACGAATAGTAATGAAATTGTATTTAGAGGACAAAAGTTGGCGTAGTCGATCGCTCCCTCCTCAGAAAACGCTACGGAATGTGATTTTGCAGTCGAGATCCTCGGAACACCGCAAACTTCAAAGCATTGACCCCGAGAGTGCTGACGTATAGTATTCTGGACAACAGCATAGTGAAGGGTTACTGGATCCAGATAACCATATTTCATTCATTTCTACGATCAATTGTTCATTTCGAGACGCAATACGTAGTCCAACAAGCTGCGACGTATACCCTTGCAAATCCTACGAGAAAAATAAAATAGAGCCTGGCAAATCTCAGCACTTTTTGCAAAAGGGTTGAGGCGATATTCTGAAAACTCAAAGACGTTCCGACAGTTACGGAGCGAGTAGCTGCACTGGTCTCATGGGAGAGCAAATGTGCAATGTGCAATGTGCAATGTGATGTCGGAGTCATCGACACCACGCGGCATCGCTCTCGGACTCACCATGGGAATATGCCATGATTAATCCCTGACCGGCCGGTTTTCCTCGGACGCAACGCGACGCAGCGACTCCAGATCTGACCGTGACATTTTCGGACTCGCCGTGATAGCAGCAAAAAAAAAAGCGCCTTTCATTTTCAAGGGAAATGCCAGTCACCTCCACAGCCGAAAAACAATTTCCAGGAACAGACTGCTCTCAACGGAAACACCCAATTATTTGCTTCGGAGAATTTTTGCAGTTGAAAGAAGTTAAATCGGGTGGCACCTCCAGTGAAGCGTCTTTCGTTTCTTGCGCTTCTCATCCTTGGAAAATGCGGAGCTTACGAGCCTGCTCTCCTCATTTAAGCAATTATTTCGGTCTACGGGAGAAAAACGGAGAACCAACAATGTTGCACGAATTGAGATGCGACCCTGCGTCCCGAATTGCAATCTGAAGGGAAAGAAATCTCTCCGATGCTGCGGCCGGAAGGGACCTGGTGCCTATGGAACCTGGGGCAATTTTGCGATTTTTTAAATTTACATTTTGGCATCCACGAATAATCGCCGGTCAGCAATAAGCAGTTGAGTGCAACTCACTGATGGCTCGGACCTGGAGAAGTTCCGTGCACGCGACGCGAGGCCAGGCAATACGTGTGCGGGGAGAGGGAAACAATGGTATGAAACAAGCATGAGAGGAAACAAGCATGGCATGAAACAAGCATGATAGGAAAAAACTTCATCGTGAACGAAGCATGAGGTCAACGTCACGGAATGATCCCAATATATTCTTCAATTTTTTTTTTTTTACTGGCGAGTTCTTCCAGATCTTATTCTGTACAGTTGAAAACTCAATTTTTTTTTATAAAATACCCTGTGTCTCTTCAATTAATGAATGAATCAATTTTCATCGCAAAGAGCCAAAGTTGCGAGATCGCAAAGCCGAGAGACACTCAACGTGCACAACAAGAAATGAGTTACTTCATTCATTAATTTGGTATGAAGTCACATTCATGACAAGAAAGGCCGAGAACCGGAACGGAACGGAACGGAACGGAACCTCATGGTTTTATGCCGACAGGTCGGCAGTTCCTCGATGACTGCGCATGGTTGGATTTATATCCGGCCGATTCTGGTCGTAAGGGGACCCGCGTTGCGACTGGACCTATTATGATCGTTAACACTCCATGAAGGAAATGAATCTATTCTATCTATCTAATCAATATCTTCAACCGATATCTTCCACTTTTGTCAGGCCCGCTTTCTCGAGGACCTTGCCCTCGTGCCGTCAAGGACTCGGGAAGCCATCGTCTCGACCTCGATACTTCGGCACTATCTCGACCTCGATACTTCCCCGAGAATTTCGGGCGAAGCGGCGAGACCCATCCGATTCCCGACGCGCGATTTTCCACGCGACGCCCTGGACCCTTCGCGCAGAGGCAGAAATTCAGACTGACCTGTGACGACCGGATCGTGCAAGACGAGAAGGGACAAGGCATTCATGCATGAGAGCACCACCGACTCCACGGCAGACGACGCCATCGCGACTGAGGAGGGAGTCCATCCAAATCCGGGTCGAACTACCCGGCCGAACGGCGCCTTAGGACCTGCCGGGGAGGCGCTTCGGGGAAGGTGGGGGGGGGGGGGGGGGGGGGGGGGGGGGGGGGGGGGGGGGGGGGGGGGGGGGGGGGGGGGGGGNGGGGGGCGGGTAAGAGGGGGGGTTTCATGAACTCGGAAACCGAAATGGAGATATTGGCTGGTATGCAAGAACGTATAAAACCGACCAAATAGCTATTTTTTGGGGGGGGGGGGGCTATCATATGATAGGTTTGATTGGATGGCCGTATGCAGGAAAACTTTATGCATTTTATTTAAACATTTTATTTTATTTATAAAAATCGCTTCAATCTATTATGATCCAGAGCTTTTTTTTTCTGCTTGTAACGAGCTACCAGGGTAGATTGCAGTGCATTTTATTAACCCATTTAAATATATGTGAACCGTCGCAACTTGTGCTGAGCGCAGTTACTCGGATCGATTAAATCCCGTAGAATTTTTTGTATCAAGCCACGGCAGTCGAAATTCAAGCACTAGTCTGGTAAACGGGTCAGATTAATACCGTCAAATCATCACACTGGTCACTCATGTGACACTGGTCAGTCATGTGGGCAGACACACATGGCATTTATGGCATTTATGGGCCGTCATTTATGGAAGCACAAATGGCTTGGAATGCTTGGTTCAGAGCCTTGCCTATGAATGAGTCCAAATGTGATTTAAATCCTCATTCTAAAAAAGAATTCACAGGTCGATAATATGTTGTCTTTCTAAGGGTTTCCCATCACCTTTTTGAATTTATTCATGGCAGACGAGGACATAGATAAAAAGTAATTAAGCTTTGCCCTGAAGGAGGCACAGCACCCTTGCCCCCCCCCCCCCCCCCCCTTCCCCCACCCGAGAAGGGCCATACCCTTGTAGATATCATATGCCTGAGAACCAATGCAACGTTCCAAATCAAATCGGAATTCTGGCTGAGAGTCAGTTAAATTAAATGTATTTTGTTTTCACTTATTGGATTGATCCAATAATCAGTATTGCAACGAAGCTGTTCCTTTTTTTTTTAATTGACGATGACATAATAGACCAGGTGACTGATTGCTACCACGTAGCATCAGTTACTAATTTCCCTTGCTGCGTCAGAAAATGAATCCTCTTTCATTTTATCACTTAAAGAACTTTAATAAAGATACCTTCCAGCTTCTTTCTTTCTGATCCAAACCACTGATTCATTACAAAGGTACTTTTCTTCATCCCTTGAAAAATTGACCTCCTTAATGAATTGACGAATTCTAAAGACAGAATTCATCCTGCAGTTAAATTTACGGACCAGGACAGGTCAGACGGAGAAATACCACATGGAAGAGAAAACGGAAAGAATTTAAGAGACTAGAAGGAAAGGCCGCTGGAACATCCAATGTCATGCCACCGCTGCAACCTCCATTGTCTTGACACCGCTGGAACCTCCATTGTCTTCCCCTCTCCCCTTCCTTCTTGCAAGTTAGTCCCGTGTCTGCCCCGTGTCTCTTGCGTGTAAGTCCCGTTGCAACATATCTTGCCAACGAATGCCTTTCCAACATGGCGTTTCCTCTTCGCGCACATCCTAGGATTCATTCATTATGGAATCTTTCCTCTCCTGAATTCTCCCTTCCAGTTTTTCGAATAAAACAAAAGTTTCCAATAGCAGTCACTTCCAATAATTCGTTTTAAAATATCTTACATTAAAAGGGTAAAAACTCGAAATTATTCTTTCCCCTGGAAATAGTCCTACGGACAATTTCACTTGGTTTAAATTCGCCATTTCATGAAAACGGAAAAAGAGAGCTCCAAATCATGACCTCTTGCGCACTCCAGCTACTGCATTGTCATCTACAGGAAAGGACGAAGAATACACGCCTTGTAGAAAGTCACCAATGACATCGAGCTTCATTTTCCTCACTGAGTAATCGAAGAGGGGCCGTCCTGAATAACTTCATTCTTTCCAGGAAGGAAAAGGGACTTCGCCTTCACTGTCTGGATTCCATGTGATTTTGCTTCTTTACCTCCATTGTCAAGCCATAAATCCCTCGAGGGGAATGCCCATTGCATCTGTGAAGCGGGTTTCATTCCTTCGGGCAAATAGCGTCAGAATCAGGTTGGTTTGGAATATTATGAAGGAAAATAATAAGTTGACAAGAAAATGAGAGACTATGACATCGTATTCTTTAAATGTCACTCGGCTGCGAATCATTTTCCCGTGTCGCTCAGTGTTAGCGCCGAGGAAGTTTAAGCCTGGAAAACTCAGCAATCAGTTGCCTCATTCTGACAATTACCATTGACATTCAATAATGTGAGATCTTCGGCGGCTTTCTTGGGAATCCGGATGAAAGGCAACCAAGAAAATCGGTCTATACATCGTAACTACAGTCAACTCTCGTTAATCCGACCGTCAGTAATCCGGATCTCCCATTAATTCGTACAGGAAGAATGTTCCCATTAGAATTCCCATAGAATCAATAATAGATCTCTCCTCTTACACCGGACGTCGTTTTTCAGTATTTTCCGTTCATCCGGAATTGATTTCTTATCCCCTGACCCATTCTCCGCCGTTAATCTGGACTTTCCGGCTCGGTACATGGCTTTATGCGGCCCACTAAGGTTAACTGATAATTGAAATTTTCACATTTTATCCGTTTGATCGACACTCTTGAAAAATAATAATGAACACTTTCCACTTCCAGATTTGGAATCCTTTGTTTGAAACTATGTAGTTTAAATACTTAGATACAGATAAAGCCTGTTCACATTTAGATGTTTACGTATTTAGGTCCCCACTAGCTGAAAATGCATAATATTCGGAGCATCCATATACTGCGGAGGAAAACGCTTTTCCTGCCAAATGAATGAAGATGAGAAGAAAAAAAAAAGATGAACTTATCGAAAATACAACTTGTGACAAAGCAGCACCGAGAAACGCTGCGTCCACATGAGCCTGGTCTCCTAGTAGTGGCAGCTTCCGTGACTACGAGAGGTGGAAATGTGTGTGAAAAATACTTGTCTTTTTTTTCTTGAGTTCTCTCAGCCTCGCTTCATCGAGGTCCACATGCTTTTGAGGACTCAAGAAGCCTTCAACGCGGGCGACTAGAGTCAAAGCCGACGCAACTTTTTCATCATCGTCGTTCAGCATCATGCTAACTTCAATGTTCGCCCAGTATATTTCAGGGAACCAATCACTTTCGAAGAGATTTTCAGTGCATTTCCAGAATTTGTCTGTCATTCAAGTATTCTGAAATAACTCATTTTACAAAGCTAATTGAAGTTAAACCTATCAACGATGCTACCCTGTTTCAAATGATGACTTTTCCTTTTAAGTCTTTGATAAAGCGCAGGATGAATAATGGTGAGGATATACGGGAACCCCACAACGACCACTACCAACCGACGTGTGGCTCTCCGCATCGGCGATGACGGTATTGCAAAATCGGTCGCTCTTGGGTCTCGAACAGCTACACCAAGATGCGAGGTCATATGACCCCAAGGATACTTAGATGAGACATTGGACAGCAAAACGACTCAAAGCTCGTTCTTTATATGTTTGTCTTGATCTCGACTAGAGGAGTCGAACAATATGTAACGTCGACTTGCCAAAGGAGTTCTCATGGCGAGTTCCAAAACATTTTACATTTCACAATCTACGAAAATTCTTAAATTTCCATATGAAACAAGGTCAGCATTCAGCATGGTATATGTCGAGAAGCCAAGCTGTAAGAGAGCAAAACTTTAAAATTCCACCCTTTAAATAACGTTTCCCACATGATTTACATACACTGACACTAATGTAAAATCTCCAAACACGACAGAAACAAGATGGGGAAAAAAATCATAAAAGCTTCAATACGTGGGAAAGTTTTTTTTAAAGCATCCGTATCAGGTTCTCTTCAACGTCGTTGCATAATTTCTGAGTCGCGTGGCATATTCAAGCATGGTCGGAATCATGGAAACTCGGGATAAAGACTTCATCAGGGCATTGACTTTCACGTCAACGTTGAGCACGTACTGGAATTTCGTTGAGCCGCCTCCACTCGAAGAAAACCGGAATCCACTCGAATGATATATGGCCCTGTAGAAAGGGGAAGTACGAACACTGAATTCCTTGTACTTACACCTCCAACCCTTTGTGCTCCCGCATCGAAATCCGAAATGGAAGATTTACCTCACGTAATCCTCTTGGGGCGGTGCCCCGGAGAACTCCGTCGAGATGAAGCACATGTAGAAATCCTCATTCATCCGATTGGTGTGCAGCACCTCATGTCGAGAATACACAGCCACGAAGTCTCGTGTTGAGATGAATCTCGACCATTCGTTTGCTGCGATCTCTCGGGCGATCATGGTGGTCTTCGAAATTCTCTGCAACGATCATTGGCGATGAAACAACTCGTGCATTATCAGGTCGCGTTCTTCGTTGACACTAAAATGGCATTTTTCCAGGCACTAGCTAGAATTTCTCGCCAAATGTCTGGCCGAATTTGACAATGTGTTTGATAAACGTAAGAACCTGTCGTGTTGGCGATGGGGATCTATGCCTCGCGTACGATTATCGCATTTGCAAGTTCTTTCCTAATAACCTGCAACAACAGATACAACAACTTGCAAATGCAAGTTTGTCGGAGCAAAAGAAATGCATTAAAACTAATGCTGTACCAATGACCACATTTGGCCAGTGGGCCAATGGCCGAATTTGATTTCGTAACCATAGGCCGGTGCCGATGCCAATTTTGATTTGTAGATTGCGAAAACATGAAATTGCATGCTAACTCAAATAGGCCTATTTGGTGGCCGCGTGATACTAATCAGTGACCTCCCTCTTAAAACGACAATGGACAATGATTTCCCTTCTTTACCGCCATTTTCCTTCTTCAGTTCCTACACTCACGCTGAAATGTTATTCGACCGATACTTCAATCCAGGAGAGGCCAGAAGGAGCGAGGCGTGAGGCCCAGCGCCCAGTTCACAATGTCATGGCTTCCTTTTTTCGTTTTGTCTCCACTTTGGGCATCGGCAGCTTGCAAACCTGTCGATGGCCGATGGTGCAACATCGGAAACCGACACAGGTGGTTGCCGAAATATCGATACCGTCCTATTAAAATTTTGGATATCAGAAACCTGTTGTCTGAAAGGCCAAAATTAAGATCATACGCTTTAGCGTGCTTTAGATGGGAAAGGAAACAGGCAATATTCCAATTTTCTCTCCTACCCTGGATCTATCACTAGTAAACTAGTTCCTATTGTGCTAGGTCACACTGTAATGGGAATCGCATGCATCGTGAGTGGCTGAGTGAATCACATCCTAAATTCGGCATACCCCGTATGTGCACAAAAAAGTGCCGAATTCTTGAATATCCGATTTTTTTAATCCCTTTCCCCGGTTCATTTCTGATACGCGATCTAATTGACACGTTTCATATGAGCAGTACTCATGCACAGTGCATACTTTTTTCACAACTGCGAAAATTTCCCCTCTTCCATGGCTCTACCAGAGCCGAATCAGTTCGTGTTCTCTGGAAATCCGACTCTCGATATTGGACATCGAGTCCAGCTTTTCCCGTCAGCTTGTTTTCCCCAATGACATTTGAGATTTCCCTAATGAGAAAATCCTGGGAAGTGATTCAAAATGCGTTCCAATTTGCAGGAATATCACCTAATATATGACGAGCAAGATGTTATTACGGATATTAAACGTCATTTCACTAAGGTAGGGTGGGGACTGATTTTTTAAGGGTTTTTCTCACGATCGGTAAACGTCCTCAGTCGGGAGAGATAACGAATAATTTTGAATGCGGTTTGTCATGTTTCCAACTCACTTTGACGATATCGACTCCAGATACTTGCGAGTTCCAAACTTGCATCCTGTCGAAATGCCACCAGAGCTCGTCGATGAGGGCCTCCGCGGTCGAGTTCATCACGGTCTGGGGGAAAATCGCGCCGCAGCTGAGGTTTAGTGCCGATTGGGATGCCAGTGCACTGTCGTGCAGCGAGATTGTGATCATATGCAGCAACCAACACCTTTCAGGATTTTTAGATGTTCCATGGAATCAGAGAAATTTTGCAGCATGATGTTGCCAAAACAGGTTAACGGAAAATTGTTGCCTGTAGTATCCTTTCACAGATATTAACGTCTATCAAATGACGTCTGGGATATTGTTTGGATTATTGATATATTTCTCAATGTCGTAGAGTGGACTTCTGAGTTCATGATGAATCGTTCGTTCAACACAGCATCAACCGATGTTCGAGAAGCATCTTCTTATGCTGTCAGTATTAGTATTAAATATAAACTCAACGAACTCCTACACTCCCACCCCCCCGTAATACCAAGTCAGATATCATTCGATAGACAAATCCCTGCACTTCTTTTCGGATTCCTGGAATAAATTTTGCTTGATCGCTAGTATAAAAATTTTCGAAACGATTTTCACGGTTTCTTGAATTCGTGATAAAGAATAATTAAATTATACTTGAGATTTTTCAAGTTCAACTTCACAAAGTGATTGATTAAATTGAAAATTGGTTGCTTAAATTGAAAAAGGTCCCATTCTACTATAAATTAATTGTTTTTCACATGTCTGAAAAAGTGCTTGGAATGACATTGGAATATCTAAAGAATTGGAAGTGGTGAAAACTTTTCTTTACCTCTGTCAGGTAGATGTAACTGCTATATTTCGGACTGTATAGGCTCTTGATGACAATGCCGTTCTCTTCTCGTTCTAGGCTCCAATCGCCGTTGTGCAACAAATCCTTCACCTCATGAAAGGCAGATTCACCTTGCTGCACGTAGGGCAGGAGATCTTCCTGTTGGGGAAAGGAGCACGAATCTCAGGCAATGATCCAGTGTCTTTAAGGAATGCCTAATTGGGGAAAAAATAGCAAATAAAAAAAAATCCACAGAAGGGATCTCGTTCATAAAGAACTGATATTCAACGCCGGAATGAAAAACAAGAGAGTACCAGCCCAGGTACTGATCTGGCATTACAATGGCCCTTGTGTCACTAGCATTATTATATATATTCACTGCATCATAACCATCCAATCCTGAAATAAATAATAACTTTCATTGGTTCGGCCTCAGCCTATATGAAAAGGCCTGGACAACTAGACATGTTCTCGATGGTTCGCACGTCCGCATTGCGTGAAGATGGGAAGAAAGTATGCGTAGAATGTCAGATGCACATTTGGCGCGTGCGCCAAGCAACCTGTCTATGCGGGAAGGTGCAGCCGCTCTCCCCATTGTATACCATGGATCTGTCAACTCCATCAGGCATAGAGTAGAGAGTGTAACTAGAGGCGACACTCCTCTCGAATCCCATTCATTGACAGGGTCGTAATATATTGATAGATGTCGCTGTCGATCCTCTACCTAGTGGGCGCACATCAACAACTCTTCCACGGCCGAGCATCGGACTCAACGAGACACACGTGGTACGTTGAGGGATCCGTTTGGGTCGAATTCCCGAATGAGTCGTTTCCCGATTCCGATGCCACGAAGCACGCCGCATGGAAGTGTTGTTGATAACAAGCCACCAGATGTCTCTGCAATATTTCGACCCTCCCCTACCCCTCGGAGTGTCGCCTCTAGTTACACTCTCTACTCTATGCCCCAGGCCTGGAAGGGAAGTGGATGTTTCTGTGGAAGAGCCCGACCGTGGCGGAAAGCCGCGCGTGCGCATGGGGTCGTGTTGTCCGGTTGCTATGGTTACTGCGGACTCACGGAATGAAGAGAATGTGACATACCGATCGCAATATCTGCCACTTCCCCAAAGCGCCTACGGGAATGGCATATTATGTGCAGATTAACTCCAAATCCCTCTTCAGTATAGGAGATTTGCAAAGTTAACAGAAATCGCATTTCATTTTTGGAAGAGACAAATACGAGACGCCTGGGAAGAATAAGAAAATGTTCCATGAACAGAGCGGTGAATCAAGTCACGTATATTACGCGCCTCGGTGAAGAGATTGCAATTTTCACAAATAATTGCACAATTCCTTCAGAATATCCCAATAAAGTTACTGGGGATAGACGTAATTTACACGGAAATTCCCGGTCCTGGCAGGAGTCTTCAGTTTTTTTGACAATATATGGTGGAAACGAACAGGAAATTCCATGAATTTCACATAGAACCATTCGCTCTTCCTCTGGAAGGGGCGAAACTGCAGAAGATTGCTGTGCAACTACATGAAAATTCCATGGACCTGAAAGGGGACGTGGAACTACCATTTAAATTACAGGCTTGGGCCAGGTAAGATAAGGCATAATAGTCAGTAGGATAGAAGTCGATGACCCCGCCATACCGAGGTTCAAAGAGGAAATTACGTTTATGGCTGCCTATCATGTTATGATGAGACCGTGCATACCTGAAGAAGTGACCAAGCTTTAGCCCGGGCCTCGGTCAATGACAGGCAATTCACACCTCCCGCTCATATCTAATGCTAAGCCTTCATTGTCATATTACAAGCCTAAACCTGTCATTCGCCTCTCTGGTCCCGTCGATATGCATAAGTTGCAATCTCGTCATTGACACGGTATTCCTTACATTTCTGTAGGACTCCACTGCAACTTTTAGATGGGGAATGTCGCCTCACGCGAACCGCTCACATTCAATAGAAATAGGTATATTCAAGTGTATATTTTATTTCTTCCATTTGTTCAAAGCGGCACCTTCCCTTAGAGACGTCGGAATCATGTTACTTTTATGTAACTCCTATACGCTTGACTTAAACCAAACTCGTGCAATACCATAGAGTCTTCTTTTTTGCAGAAAGAGATTGGAATCGCATGACTGAAAGAACATGAAAATATGTCCGCGGAATTGCCTCCTCTGCTGAACACAAAGAGTTGAGTCACGTAAGTACTCAACACTTCCTGTTCACAGGATGATTTCATTGCCTTATCGATATTAACGTTCTTTCAGACACTGGATAAGGGAAGAGGTACTGTCACGCCCAAACGCTGACAATTCAACGTTGACACAACGTTACTTCGCAACAACACTTCAGCTTTGAATGTTTTTTTTTTTTTGAAGGCAGAAGACTATATTGTCACGTCCTCACAACACAAATCTCTGCTGAAATTCACCAAAACTGAAAGTGAACAATGGAAGAGTTGTTACTCCTTCCATTACGGCATATGCTTTCGGATTTTTTCAAGTGATCTTTTTTTTTTTCTTTTTTAGAAAAAAAAAGAACTGTTTCATTGCAACCATTTCTCAGCATTGGAATAACATGTTAAGGTGAGAAATCAACCTTTGCTCAATGTTGAGACAACGTTGTTGTACCGAATCGAATATGTTAGGATCCGCGATTTTGCGCCGGTCGACAATGAACAGTCAGATCGGGCGACTCACTGGGACTTTTGATGATTTGGAGAAGGTCCGTGTGTAGGACGCGACGCCAGGCAATACATCTGCGGAGAGAGGAAAAAAGAGCACGACATGAAATAACTTCGCAAGGAACGAGGCCTGAGATGGACGTCTCATAGCGATTCTGCAATTTTCTTCAGACAAAATTAATATCTAGTGAGCTCATACAGATCTTATTGTGTTCAACAGCAACCTCGACTCTTAACGTTGAACTACTATTTTAAACCTTTCTCTGTCGTCTCAGCCTCACTGCCTCGAGGCATGAGGTGGCATGAGGGCTAAACGCCCTTATGCCACCCTCAAAGGACTCGGGAAGCCTTCACCTCGGGCGACTAAGAGTCAAAAAAGGTTCCCCCTTCAGCGCAACTTTTCTTCTTCGTCGCTGTCCTACTTCAGCTGCACGCTAAACGTATAACCAGCAAAAGGATTTCAGGGAAAGTGAAAGCATCTACCATTAACTTGCATATCATATAAATTTTCTTGCAAATAAACCGCCGGAACTAATCGAGCGGTAAAGCATGAATTTCTTAAATGACACAACTAACCTGTGACGATCGGATCGTGCAATATAAACAGGGACAAGGCGTTGATGGACAGAACCAGCGCCGACTCCACCACAGACGAAACCATCGTGACTGAGCAGCACGTCGATCTAAGTCCAGATCGACTCTCTCCGCAGAATGACGTTCTGTGACCTGCCGGATTCCCGACCGAGATGCGTCACGGCTGACTTCGCTGGGAGGGGAGAGGAGTGTGGGACACTGGCAATTTTAATATGAAAATTGTATCGAATGACTTATTCAGGCGAAGTCGTACGTAGGTTCACCATGTCGTTTTTCTTAACCCTTTGACCGACAAATTTCGCAGACGCCTGTTATACGGAGCTCGTAAAAAGGGCTCCCTCTACCCTCCATGCATTTGGTGGAGGATGTTGAATCAAACCTGATGCTGTTAGCAGAAGTTGCTTCTCAGCCTGCAAAAGCCATTTCATCTTCTTCTCAGCAGTACTTTTGCCTACAGGTGAGAATCACAATTTTTCTGGGACACTTATCAAATGATCACCCGAAACATAATGCATATAATTCCTTGCCTTTTATATTATATATTTGTGTCTCAAACACAAGAGAACACCTTATAGGGCACTTGAGCTCATTAAAGAGCATCTAAGAATGAGAAACATGGCGTGGAGGTGGCAGTAATAGGATTTAAATATTCTCAAAGCTCTTATTCCTTTATTTCTAGGCTGAAGTCGACATGCTCCAAAAAGAGAATAAGGAACTGAAAGAAAAGCTACTGAATGCAGCCTTCTCCTTCTCAAACATTGCAGAAGATGAGAAGATGCTCCGATACTATACTGGACTTCCCGATGCACCAACTTTCTATGTATTGTTGAATCTGCTTCGCAGATTCCCCATTCACTATCATGCTACATGGGTGCCAACAATGAACCTGGCTGATCAGCTCCTACTTACACTGATGAAGCTGAAACTAAACCTGGATCATTTGGACCTGTCTGTGCGCTTCAACACAAGCACAGGAAGCATCAGCAATATTTTCATTACTTTGTGCAAGGTGCTTCATGACATCTTGTACATTGGCATTTTGCAGAAGATCCCCTCTCGCCAGAAAAATGCTCAGGCTCTTCCTGCATGTTTCACTCCATTCCCAAATTGCCGCATGATACTAGATTGTACTGAGGTGTCAGTTCATCGGAGTGAAGATTTGCATGTTCAATGTGCAACATACTCTAACTATAAGAGCAGGAACACCTTGAAAGCTCTAATTGGGATTGCTCCCAATGGTACCATAGTTTATGTTAGTGATTTATATGGAGGCAGTGTTTCTGATAAGGCAATTGTACAGGATTCTGGAATTCTTAAGATCTTTGAGCCAGGTGATCTGATATTAGCTGACAAGGGATTCACCATCCAAGACATCCTCCCTGCTGGAGTGCAAGTGAACCACCCAACATATCTTACAAATGGCCAGTTCACTCATCAGCAGGTGCAGCATGATACTCAAATTACTAGGGCACGGATACATGTGGAAAGGGCCATTCAGCGGATCAAGACATTCAGGATTCTTGATCTCATTCCCTTTCAGTACAAAAGAATGGCAACAGTTATATTTCAAGTCTGTGCATGTCTTGTGAATTTCCAGACCCCAATCTTGAATCTTCACTAGATCAGTTAAAATGATTTTAGGCTTCATACAATTGACATTCATGGAAAACAGTCTCTATGCAGTAAATACATTTGTTTTGGCATTGACAGATTTGTTTTCTCATTGCAAAAATATTCTCCCTGGTTCCCTGTTATGAGCCTATTTAAAAGTGCCCATATTTTTCACTGATGCTGGTGATTTTTGTACAGCTGAATGACAATTCCCATTTCAAACCCTACTTCATTCCTTCCACAATCTATTTGCCAGAATGTTCAATCACTCTTGGTATAAAAATTTCTCTTACAAATTTCTGGAGAGTTTTTCCAAAACCCTCCCATGTTTTGTCCCATGGGACACGAACCACAACCATTTCTTGAGGGCTCCAGGCAATGAGATCACAGAATTGACCACCAGTGATGTACATACCACCCTGAACCTGATGGTAATAATCATGCTCTGGGTCCAGGATGGTCTCACCTGTCTCACTCTTCCTCAAACAAAAACCTTTTTTTCCAATTGATGCACTGATGGTAGAATCCTTGCAGTTGTATGGACACTTCACTTCGATAATTCCTGATGCATCGTCAATGAGACCATCAGGTGAGCGACCAAGTAAGCCATTGATAGAAATGTGAATTCCAGTCTGTGCCACCTGTTTCCCTGTTGAATGTTCATACTCTCTTCTTCCTTCATCTTCATGGATAATGCCCCATTCTATGACCTGAAAAGAGTCAAATTAAAAAAAGGCATGAATAGTTCTTGATATTACATTTAAAAATATAGATTAATTCATAGGGATTAGTAACTTAGGGATTAGTAACTAACTGCCATTATAACCTGAGCTAACAATACATTTGCTATGACATGTTCTCAATACATGAGGCATAAGTATGGAAGGAAAAGTTTCAGAACTTTTCCCTTCATGAGCTTTCCTTGAAGTCAAGACAATTTTCCAGTCAAGAAAGTTTCATGTGGTTTTGGCAATAATTAGTGAAAGTTTTCCTGTGTATATAACATCCTCCTTCTGACACAAAAGGACAAGAACAGGGATAGATAAATTTGAAGGTACCTTGGCACCACTTGTCTTGTATTCCCCAAAAAGGCTCTTCCAGAATGATGGAAACCTCTGCCGTTTCAGTGCTCTCAATACCATGCCAAACTTACTGGCAGTCACCCGCATCCTTCTGAATGCATGCCTGGAAAGGGAAGAATTTGCATATTTAGAGCCATTCATGTGAAACCAGAACAGTCACTTACATATTTAAATTCTGAGGGCATGTATGCAAAACTTTCAATCATAAAGAAAGGCCAAAATGCTCCTCACCAGAGATGATTAGCTCTTTGTCCAATTGTCCTGCAAGCAATTACTCTCACTTCTTCTGCATCCAACTGCATGTTAGACAGGCAGTAGCTGGATTTGTCAACTGCATCTATATATGCCTGGCATCCTAGGATATGCCCCATGGTTTTACCCATTATATACTCCTGATCAACCTAAGGAAGAAAGGAAATTTATTCATTCTGCTCTTGTGTAGCTATATTGCTAAGCCCAATAGCAAACTATCGGTGGTTCTCATACCTCCATGTTTCCCAGTTCAGGCTCAAGCAACCAGCCCATCCCAGTGAATCTCCAACGGTTCTTTAGGCTAATGTGCAGCCATGAGAGGTCATCATGTGTAACAGGCCTCAGAACTCCAGCTGTAAGGTGTACGGATAAAGAAACATGAACCACATCTTTCAAATTACACTTTCACCTTGAACCAAGCCATGCCAAAATGCAGACTCACCTTGGGACGAAAATGGAGCCATGCTTGTCAGTCGCCTGTTTTCTACTTTTTGCTCCTTCTTCTTCCTTCTTTCTTGTTTTTTTTTTGCGAACCCACTGACATTGGACATCAGTCCGAGAAAGGTTCTTTTCACACCAAATGAGAAGTGATGCCATATGGTGACATTTTGTTTTCCCCTTTGGACATTCACATTGTGATGATGTCACCTCTCCACTGCGAACTTTAACCTGTAGATAAAAGGCCAAGTTTAAAAGCCACTCATGGAAAAGCAGTAGACTAGGTGACTAGGTAATTCTCCCTTAAGCCTCATGCCTATTAATAGTCCTAAAAGGTTTCCTTAATCAAAGAGAGAGTACTAGGTCCAGACCTAGGCCTACTCCTGTTTGGTTCTTCAGATGGTGAACAAACGTTCGCGTCTGATCGACGCACAAGTATCACCTTACCACATTAGGCTGGAGAGCATGTTACAAAAAAAAGACTTTTCAACTGTGACACACTAGTGTATAAACGGACCTGTACTTTGTAGGTCTTTTTATTCATGGACGCTCCTACTTTGGCGTCAATATATAAGGCCTCGATGGCACCATCCACATTCCCAAACTCCACTCTGTGAGCAGAGAACGACTTGAATCCCTTGGAGAGAATATTGCTCTTCTTGAAAAAGTCTGTGATTGTGACAATTGTCACTGGATCCATTTTGAATGCAGAGACCTAGGCTTTGGAGGTGAGCTTCGCCTTCTAACCGCGCGGCACCATGGACCCGGAAGCCAGCAGACACGTGGAAGTGACGTCATGCTTACATTCCCTTATAGGGCATTCATTTCAGCATGATGAGGCACGTCATTCAACTGTCAGAAGGACACCACAGTGACTTATGACAAGATTCAGAGTGGAATTCAGACCTTTCCGGAAAATCCCAAGCACTAGCGCAAGGCTCTCAACCTGCGGAACGCAATCCAGGTCGGTTTGCCCTTCAAACAGGTGATAATCTGTGAAGAAAGGTCAATAGAGACGATTCCATCTTAGTCATGGGCATAGCTTAGAATGAAAAACCCTGAGAAGGCAAGGGAAATTCAGGACAAAATAACCACTTTCAACCAGAGTGAGGCACTTCCCATTGGCTTTACCGATGACATGATCCGTCTCCCGAAAGGATCCTCATCGGCCAAACGAGGATGCGAGGTCAAGCAACCATGGTTATTTAGAAAAAGTTCTGTACTGCAAAAACCGACTTATGCTCTTTATTTGATGGCATTGATCTCGACGGGGGGAGTCAAACAATATGGATCGTCAAGTCGCCAAATGAGTTTTAATGGCGAGTCCCAGAACATTTCGCATTTCACCTTCTCGATCCCCTTTTAAATTCCAAAGGAGACAAGGTCAGCGTGCAGCATGAGAATGTGCCAGGAGGCCCTGCTGTAATGGCTTAAGATCTCCAAAAATGATGAGTAAAATGAATAAAAACAGGTGGAAAATCAAGAAAGCTTCAAGAGAGAGACTCATTTGAAAGCATCTTCATCAGGTTTTCTTCAACATTGGCGCATAATTTCTGAGACAAGTGGCATATTCAACCATGCTCGGGATCATGAAAACTCGGATGAAAGGCTTCAGCAGGGCGTGGACCTTCAAGTCGACGTTCAGCACGAACTGGAATTTCGTGGAGCCGTCTCCATTCGGAGAAAACCGGAATCCACTCGGATGGTATGCGCCTCTGAAGAAAAGACAATGAATTCCTCCAACCCACGAAAGACAACTGAAACTATTTACTATTTACGAGACAACTATTTACTATTTACGAGACAACTATTTACTATTTACGAGACAACTATTTACTCCACGAAAGACAACTGAAATGGAGGTAGCCGGTTCACCTCACGTATTCCCCTTCGGGCGGTGCGCCTGGGAACTCCGTCGAGATGTAGCACATGTAGTAATCCTCCACCATCCGATCGGCGTCCAGCACCTCATGCCGAGAATACACGCTCACGAAGTCTCTTCTCGATATGTGCTGCGATGCTTGATCTGCTGCGGTCTCACGGGCGATCATGACGGTCTTCGAAATTCTCTGCAACGACATTTAGTTCACCGGGGAAGAAGCAACACGCGCTACTTCAGGGCAAAGCCATCGAAGCCACGAAAACTTTTTTGCCTCTAGGTCCTCGTTAGAATTTCTCGCGAAATGGCCAGCCAAATTTGAAACAATTCACGAATACAACGACACACGTAGCAACTATTCCAGTTGCCTCTTGTACGTCTACCGCATTTACAAGTTCTTTTCCCCCATTTCCTGCTGCTGCTTTGCAGAGCAAAATGAATGCACTAAAACCTCGAGAAACCCGTTGTCCGAAAGGTCAATATCGATGTCATACCCACCATCGCGTTTTAGACTGGTAAGGAGATGCGAGACTTTCCCCATTCTCACCTCCCCTGAATCAACTACTTGGAAACCAGTTCATGTTGCGCTAGGCCACGCTGTGTAATGGGAAACGCATGCATGCGGAATGGCAAAATTAATCACTTTCTAAATTTCTAAACATGCGCGCAACATATGGAAATCATGGATATCAGACACTTTTTCATGTCTCATTTCCCCAGATTATTTCAGATACCCAAGCTAAATATTAAATAGATTGTATTTTTGGCTCCTTTCCTATGAGCCATGCTCGTGCACAATGCATCCTTCTTTCACTTCCGCAAAAATTTCCCTTTTTAATTAGCCACACTGGAACAGATTTAGTTCGTTTTCTGGGCAAAACTAGGTCTCGATTGGGTCTGGTACCGTTTGTTTTCCTTCCGAAATGGAATTTTGAAATTCCCAGTCGGAAAAACCTGGGTGGTGGTGCAATAAGCCTCAGTTGGGAACCATTTTTGCGAACCTTAAATACGGGAATTTGGAGTGGCTGCTGATTCGATATTGCTTGTGAATATGTTAACCAGGATGCTCATTTCACAGATTGAAAGTCTAGGTTTTCCTGTTTTTCCATTCGTGAGAAAAAGCTTTAGATATTCTTATGAGTAAGGTGCTTCATGTCAAACTCGTCAATGGTTCATTTTCTTTACTTCGTTTCAGCGCGTCACGGCATGATGCACACGCCAACAATGAGAAACTTCGAAATTAATTTTAAGTAATTTTAAGAATTTAATTTTTAATTAATTTTTTGCAGGAAATTATTTTTCCCGCGAAGGTAGGTCTGGGCCTGACACTGGAGGATCCAGTCCCACCATCGCCGTAATTTTCTCATGCCAACCTGTCGAGGCCAATCGGAAAACCCTCTGAGGCCTCACACGTTCTCCTTTCAAAGGTCATTTCAAAGGTCATTTCAAAGGCAACTCACTTCGACGATTTCCAAGCGAGACATCTGCGAGTTCCACGTCGAAATTCGCCCGTAATGCCACCAGTACTCGTTGACGAGGGCCTCCGCGGATGCGTTCACCACCGTCTACAAGACGATGGAGGCAGGTGGGGAAATGACTGCGGCCTTGGAGGAAACCGCGACGGCGGTATAGTGCCGGTCAATCGCGATCTTAAGGCGCTTCGATGGAGCGAAATTGCATGCATCAGCAGCAACCAGCAGGTTAAAGGTCTTCTTCAATCATCGTTGAATACCGAGCACCTTGTGAAGTTCATTCATTTTCGTGACTGAAGTGCCAAAAAAAATTGATTTATCTGGAAAGTCTTCTTCCTTCAGGCATATAAACGGAATTAAATATATATTGATAAGCAACGCTTTTTCTTAATTAGGTATCGAGCGATTTTGCGACCAAAGCAGAGCAGAGTCAGACTCGTCAACCGATATCAATGAGAAATAGGAATTGTGCTTGACCGTCAGCACAAACATTTACGGAACGACTTCCACGGTTTCTTGGGATGGAAAAACTCAAGCATAGTTTACCTTTTTTTTCAGCGTTTCTTTAAGGGGAATTTTGATTGCTTAAATGGAAAGTTGACTCTTGCTACAATAAATTAATATTGAATATTACGTCTCACTTGTCTGAAAAAGAAAGTTTGGGATGGTAATGTAACAAAGTATTAGAAATTGCGAACGTTTCGTTACCTCTGTCAGGTAGACGTAACTGCTATATTTCGGACTGTATAGGCTTTTGATGGCAATGCCGTTCTCTTCTCGTTCTACGCTCCAAGCGCCGTTGTGCAACAAATCCTTGACCTCGTGAAAGGCGGATTCACCTTGCTGCACGTAGGGCAGGAGATCCTCCTGTTGGAGAAAGGAGCACGAATCTCATGCAATGATCTTTAAGGAATGCCTAATCGGGGAAAAATACAATTTAAAGAAACCAGAAGCGATATCGTTCATGAAGAACAGATCTTCAAAGAGAGAGACTTGGAGAAGGAATTATATCGAAAAACCGCAACGTCTACATCACCGTCCATGGCTGTGCTAAAGAACCGCCCTATGGAGTTTTCTCAGGTCAATTCAGTTGGCACTTAGGAACTTTGAGCGTCCTCGCTGCTCTGGGTAGAAAGGAATCCTACGCGCGCATTCCACACCTGGATGCATCTCCGGCCTTTGCCATCCACTTCCCTTACAGCCAATGGTTTTTTTTTCGCCTGCCCCTACCTACGTGTAAAACAGTTGGTAGAAGGAGATCCTCTGGCGCAGAGCAAGGATTCTTCCTTCTGACAATAGATATCGACTGGCTGAGATGATTTGTGTCGCGTCTCCACATTTATCACGAATAGTAATGAAATTGTGTTTAGAAGACAGAAGTGGGCGTAGTCGATCGCTCCCTCCTCAGAAAACGCTACGGAATGTGATTTTGCAGTCGCGATCCTCGGAACACCGCAAACTTCGATGCATTGACCCCGAAAGTGCTGACGTCTAGTTTGCTGGACAACAAACTGGGTGAAGGGTTACTGGATCCAGATAATCATATTTCATTCATTTTTACAATCAATTGTTCATTTCGAGACGCAATACGTAGTCCAACAAGCGGCGACGTTTACCCTTGCAAATCCTACGAGAAAAAATATAGAGCAGTTGAGGTACGTTCGCCTGGCAAAACTCAGCACTTCTCGCACAAGATTTGAGGCGATATTCTGAAACCTCAAGGACGTTCCGACAGTTACGGAGCGAGCAGCTGCACTGGTCTCATGGGAGAGCAAATGTGCAATGTGCAATGTGCAATGTGATGTCGCAGTCATCGACACCACGCGGCATCGCTCTCGGACTCGCCGTGGGAATATGCCATGATTAATCCCTGACCGGCCGGTTTTCCTTGGACGCAACGCGACGCAGCGACTCCAGATCTGACCGTGACATTTTCGGACTCGCATTGATAGCAGCGAAAAAAAAAAAGCGCTTTTCATTTTCAAGGGAAATGCCAGTCACCTCCACAGCCGAAAAACAATTTCCAGGAACAGACTGCTCTCGATTGAAACACCCAATTATTTGCTTCGGAGAATTTTTCCCGTTGAAAGAAGTTAAATCGGGTGGCACATCGAGTGAAGCGTCTTTCGCTCCTCTCGCTTCTTGCGCTTCTCATCCTTGGAAAATGCGGAGCTTACGAGCCTGCGCTCCTGATTTAAGCAATTATTTCGATCTACGGGAGAAAAACGGAGAACCAACAATGTTGCACGAATTGAGATGCGACCCTGCGTCCCGAATTGCGATCTGAAGGGAAAGAAATCTCTCTGATGCTGCGGCCGGAAGGGACCCGGTGCTTCTGGAGCCTGGGGCAATTTTGCGAATTTTTTATTTTTCATTTTGGCATCCGCGAATAATCGCCGGTCAGCAATAAGCAGTTGAGTGTAACTCACTGATGGCTCGGATCTGGAGAAGTTCCGTGCACGCGACGCGAGGCCAGGCAATACGTCTGCGGGGAGAGGGAAACAATGGCATGAAACAAGCATGAGGGGAAACAAGCATGGCATGAAACAAGCATGAAAGGAAAAAACTTCATCGTGAACGAAGCATGAGGTCAACGTCACGGAATGATCCCAATATATTATTCAATTTTTTTTTTTGTTTACTGGTGAGTTCTTCCAGATCTTATTCTGTACAGTTGAAAACTCAATTTTTGTTTAAAAATACCCTTGTCTCTTCAATTAATGAATGAATCGCAAAGAGCCAAAGTTGCGAGATCGCAAAGCCGAGAGACACTCAACGTGCAAAACAAAAAAGGAGTTACTTCATTCATTAATTTCGTATAAAGTCACATTCATGACAAGAAAGGCCGACAACTCACGGCGGGAACGGAACGGAACGGAACCTCATGGTTTTCGCTGACAGGTCGGTAGTTCTTCGATGACTGTGCATGGCTGGATTTATATCCGGCTGATTCTGGTCGGAAGGGGACCCGCGTTGCGACTGGACCTATTATGATACTTTGCACTCCATTAAGGAAATGAATCTATCTTCAACCGATATTTCCCACTTTTGTCAGGCCCGCTTTCTCGAGGACCTTGCCCTCGTGCCGTCAAGGACTCGGGAAGCCATCGTCTCGACCTCGATACTTCGGCACTATCTCGACCTCGATACTCCCCCGAGAATTTCGGGCGAAGCGGCGAGACCCATCCGATTCCCGACGCGCGACTTTCCACGCGACGCCCTCGACCCTTCGCGCAGAGGCAGAAATTCAGACTGACCTGTGACGACCGGATCGTGCAAGACGAGAAGGGACAAGGCATTCATGCATGAGAGCACCACCGACTCCACTGCAG